TCCTCAGGGTGACCTTGGCTCTGGATGACGGTGAGCGAGGAGGAAAATGATTACAGGCGGGAGGAAAACGAATGCGGCTCTCAGGTTGTAAATCACAGCCGCCAAGGACGAAACTGACCGCCGCCTTCCTGAAACATCGTCGGGCAGACGACGTTTTAGCCCCAAGACCAGAAGATTTACAGGAACAGCTTTTCATGGCGCTCTGCGGCAACTAAACTGAACTTTTACTAAAAACTAAAACCTGCAGAACTGAGCCGAGGAAACTAAATGGGACAAAGGTTCTGCAGACACTGATTATTTATTAAAAATACTCAGTTTTAAATTATCAACACAACGTTCTCATCAGATGTTTCAAAATAAAAGTCTGTCATCAATTTGGTTATATGTTGAGCTTCAGGAGGCTAAAATAAAAAAAATAAACCTTTTTAACCCAAAACATACTGCTTTTTCAGGTTTTATATCTTCAGAGAACTTTGAAAAGTACAAAAGTTCCATAAAAATAGACACTTTGCTACATCGAAATCTGGATTTTATTTTGTTTGATTTTTAAAAATTCTTGTCAAAAGAATCAACAGAGCGTAAATACTTTGCAAAAAGCTAAAACTGTGGAACAAATCAGCTAAAAGAGGATAATTATTAGCCTCCACCAAACGATAAGAGGCCCATGTTTGGCTGGAGTGGTGGGCGTAGCTCCGCTAATCAGCTAATCATAACAGCTAACAGCTAACAGCTAACAGCGGAACTAATTTTTCAATTAGCAGATTAGCCTTTTCACTATGAAAATCGTAGGTGGACCAATTAACTTCCGGCTTCAGGTCATGTCAACTTTAACTGCGCTAACAGCTAACAAGCTGCATTATACTAACAGCTGGTATTAGCTTCTGCTAATTTTTTTTWACGTTTAACCTTAGTTAAGCTATASTTTTAGTTAGCAGATTGAGTTAGCAAAGCTGTTTTAATATYTTACAAGCTAACATTAGTCGGTCCCACCAGTCTTCAGCTGGAATGAGACAAAGACGCGACACAAACTGAGTAACAGACAACTTAGTGGTTAGCGATTAGCTGTTCGAATTAGCTTCCTCTATTTTTCTTTTTGTTTTAACGTTAGTGAAACTACGTCTTTAGCTAATCAATTAGGAGTTTTTGCTAACTCATAACCTGTTAACACTGAAAGCTAACAATGAAGGTTTCATTCTTTWTAGCAACTAATTTTTATGCTGTTAAACCTCACTGGTCTGTTAGCAAAATATTTTATGAAAAACTGGACGGTCTCTTAYGAAATCAAAACATATTTTGCTAACGGACAGATTTTGCATTGAGTGTCTGAGGATGGGGGGGTATCGAGGGGGTCATCTTACTGCCCCCCCCCCCCTGCCCACCCCTCAGTGACGCCCCTGGAAATGTAATATTCTAGCATAAAAGTGGCCAAATTAATGTGCTACAGCTAGTTGCTGCTGCTGCTATTTGTGAGTTTTTACAGGAGGGATCGTGTAAATAAAGCTGACCACAACAACATGTCTGACTAGCCATTAGCTCGTCAGTTTGGTCGTTATCTGTAACAGGTAAGATACTAACTGTTCATAAGCTTCACCTGAACCGCTCTGCCGTCTTTGACCTGCTGAACAGAATCGGGTTTTGGTTCTGGGGGGTCAGGATCCCTGCAGGCCTCTGACAGCAGAGGTCCTGGTCTGCTCAGGAGAACCGAACCCGTCCTCCGGACCAGCCCGTGAGCCGCGGCCGGTCCGCAGGTGGACTCACCGGAACCCGGTRTGGAACATGTACATCCTGGGCCCTCCGTTGGGTCCGAACCTGCTGGTCCCGAGCAGGAAGTCCTTCTTGATGGACACGTAGCTGATGAGGGACAGGATGAGCAGCGCCACGCTGAAGATGATCAGWCCCAGCGCGCTGGCGATCCGCACCATCCTGGTTCTGTTCGGGGGCAGCGGCGCCCCCCCAGGCCCGGTCCACCCCCTCCTGTTAGGACCGGAGCATCAGTGAGGAGGAGGACCGCGGATCCGTTTCATGGACCGAGAGGAAGCTGCGGGTCGCGCTGCTGATGTCATCATCTGCGGAGGAAGAAGTGACGTCATGACGGTCCGTGCGTCCCGCCGGGAGGAGGGGGGTCTGGACCTGCTGTCCTCCTCCTTGGTCCTGGTTCTGACTGGGTTTGTAGTCCTGGTGTCGGTTTATAGGAGAAAACATGACCAGGNAAAAACTCTATGTCCCTGGTATGTATATTTCAAAGAACCTGTGTTTCCAAGAACCCAAGTTCCCAAAGACTATGTTTCCAAAACCTATGTTCTCTGGTACCCATGTTCCCAAGAACCTGTACTTTCAGGATCTTAATTTTCCTGACCTATGTGCTAAAGAACCCGTGTTCCCAATAATCTTAGTTCCCTGGTACCTATGTTCCCAAAAAATATGTTCTCTGGTGTCTATGGTCTCAAGAACCTATGTTCCCTGCTACATATTTTCCAAAGAATGTGTGTTCCCAATAACCTAGGTTCCCAAAAACTGTTTCCAAAAGCTATGTTCTCTGGAAACTATGTTGCAAAAAACCTGTGTTCCCATGATATTAAGTTCCCTGGTACGTATGTTCCCAAAAACCTATGTACCCAGTACCTAAGTTCCCCAAAACTATGTTCTCTGGTACCCATGTTCCCAAGAACCTGTGCTTCCAGGATCATACGTTTCCTGACCTATGTGCTAAAGAACCTGTGTT